TAAAGAAAATGGATATGAGATTTGGCACTTGGAATGTACGAAGTTTGTATAGGGCAGGTTCGCTCAGGGCAGTGGCAGAAGAAATCTTAAAATATAAGTTAGATTTAGCGGGAGTACAGGAGGTCAGATGGGATGGAGGTGGCATCGCACCAGCAGGAGACTACATTTTTCTATGGAAAGGGGCATGAAAATCATGAATTGGGTACAGGTTTTTTCGTACATAAAAGAATCGTGTCAGCAGTTAAGGCGGTAGAGTTCGTTGGATATAGGTTGCCATATATAATACTAAAAGGTCGCTGGTGTGATATCATTGTTATGAATTTTCACGCCCCAACAGAAGATAAAATTTATGACATAAAGGACAGGTTCTATGAAGAACTAGAACATGTATTTAATAAATTACCGAAGTATCCTATGAAAATTTTGTTAGGAGATTTCAATGCCAAAGTAGGGAGGAAAGACATTTTCAAAATAACAATTGGGAATGAGAGTTTGCATTAAATTAGTAATGATAATGAAGTTAGAGTAGTAAACTTTGCCACATCAAAAAATCTTACTGTCAAATGTACAATGTTCCCACATCGTAACATCCATAAATATACTTGGACATCTCCTGATGGGAAGATACACAACCAAATAGACCATATTTTGATAAGACAGGAGACGGCACTCAAGTATACTTGAAGCCCAATCATTCAGGGCAGGTGAAAGTGATACTGGCCACTGCCTGGTGGTGGCAAACAACACACAGATTTCATATGGAGTGGTTCAATTGCAAGAAATTAAATGAGGTAGAGGGTAAAGAGCAGCATTGTGTTCAAATCTCAAATAGGTTTGCGCCTTTGGAAAACTTGGAAACTGAGGTGGATATTAACAAAGCTTGGGTGGTAACTATTAGAGATTATAAAAATGTCTGCCAGAGAGAGTCTAGGTTATTATGAACCGAAGAAGCATAAGCCATGGTTCGATGAAGGACGCTCAAAATTATTAGATCAAAGAAAGCAGGTCAAATTGCAATGGTTACAAGATCCAAGCGAGTTAAATGGGGATAATCTGAACAATATAAGACGTGAAACCAGCGGGAATTTCTGGAAAAGAAAAAGAAGGAATATCTGAAAGACATAATTGATGAGCTTGCAATGAACAGTATGAACAAGAACATTAGAGACCTGTGTCCGTGTAGGCAAACACTTGTCTGATAAATTTCCTATCCAGATTGTTCTAAAACAAGAAGATGCTTTATCGCCACTCCTTTTCAACTTTGCCTTAGAATATGCAATTAGGAAGGTCCGGGGAAACCAGGTGGGACTGAAATTAAATGGGACACATCAGCTGTTGGCCTATGCCGATGATGTGAATCTACTGGGCGATAATGTAAATACCATAAATAAAAACACACTAACTTTAATTGACGCAAGTAAAGGGGTTGGTCTAGAAGTAAACACAGAGAAAACTAAGTATATGTTGCTGTCTCGTCACCAAAATACGGGGCAAAATCATGATATAAAGATAGGAAACAGATGTTTTGAAAATGTGGCACAGTTCAGATATTTGGGAACAACGATAACAGATCGAAACCAGATTCAGGAGGAAATTAAGATGCGATTGAACTCGGGGTAATGCTTACTACCATTCAGTTCATAACCTTTTGTCTTCGCGTCTGCTGTCCAAAAACATAAAAATAGAATATACATAACTATCATTTTGCCTGTGGTTCTGTATGGGTGTGAAACTTGGTCTCTGACATTAAGGGAGGTACATAGACTGAGGGTGTTTGAGAACAGGGTGTTGAGGAGAATATTTGAACCGAAGAGAGATGAAGTGACAGGAGGTTGGAGAAAACTAAATAACGAGGAGCTTCGTAACTTGTACGCTTCTCCAAATATAATTGGAATGATCAAATCAAGGAGGATGACGTGGGCAGGGCATATAGTACGAATGGGGGAGACGAGGAATGCGTATAGGATATTGGTGGGAAGGCCAGAAGGAAAGAGACAACTGGGAAAACCAAGGCGTGGGTGGGTGGACAATATTAAAATGGATGTTAGAGAGATAGGATGGGATGGTATTGATTCGATTGATCTGGCTCAGGTTAGGGACCAGTGGAGGGCTCTTGTGAATACGATAATGAACCCTCGGGGTCCATAAAATGTTTGGAAATTCTTGAGTAGCTGCAGAATTGGCGGCTCCTCCAGAAGGGCTCAGCTCAATGAGTAAGTATATATATATGGCTTCTACTCTGCTGGACCCCGTTAGGAAATGGGAAGCAGCTGTACATTTCAGAATGGATATGTTTGAAGATAATCAAGCACACGTTCAATGTCCTAAATATGTAACTTTCAACCTACCACTGACAGACGACCCTGGACATCGCCTATCACTCTGGAATAAGAGGAAGAACGAAGTATTGTTTCATATCAACTTACCGCGTGGGGTACTGCCATGTCACAGGAGCACTGCTGTATCACTCGTCCGACATCAAATAATAAGTACACACAACTTGCTACCATCACAAAAATCCTCCGTTTGAAGACCTGCTGGGTCTGTTGCTATCACACTGCACGACACACTGCAACTGTCACGTGATGCAGTCATGCACCCGGCGAGCCACGCAAGGACAACTGATTGCAACTGATTTTCTCTCTCTCTCTCGCTCTCTCTCTGAGGGCTGCCTGCACAGCGACCCCTTCGCAATTGAATCTGAGCACACGCTATCCCGAAAGCATGGTCACCCATGTAAACTTCTCTCGTGTCATTTTGCTTTCCCACTTAATGGCCTGTGTGTGGGTAAAGGTGTTGCACCTGAGGGAAGAACGGAAGCTGTTGGTGTCTGATCCAGTTTGAATCTCGTTGGGGACAATGATTAACCTGAGGTTCTGCATGGGTTTATTAATTTTTCCGGGAAAATTCCGGAGTAGTAGACCACACTCCTTCTACACCCTATCAGCTTAATATTCAACATCCTACAGTCATTGAATGTTATAAAATTTCAGCTACTAACAGTGTCGTTAAATAAACTATAAATAAATATTGTTACGTACACACAAGTTGCTAAGCGGTGACTCCGTAAACAGCGGCCGTTGCTGGGTAGCGCAAACGTAGTTTTTGGCGGTGTTTTTTGACATTTTGTGTTAGCCACGCTGAGAAGTTTCATAATTGTTGTTCTATATTAGTAAGCTTTTTGTATTGGAGTTTTGTTTACGATTCTGTTTCCTAGTTTTTTGTTCAACTCCATCCCCCAACAATAGAAGCAGACACAATACCACAGCAGCAGAAGCAAGAAAACTGTACAATAGAAAACCAGGCAAAAGCACCATAGAAAAAACTTCAATACGTAAATCAGTACTAGTACAGACCCCTTAAATTGATCTAATATACAGGATGTTTCAAAAAGAGCTCTACAACTTTGAAAGCTTATGTAAATTTATACAGAGGATATACACAACATTTAGAACTGTCATAATGTAGCAAAACACACCGAGTTTTACCTCGGATAGTTATGGTTCAGTGTGACTTCCATTGGTAATGCGGCAGACGTCCCACCTGTAGTCAGTCTCATGCCACATGCTACGTAGCATCTCTGGCGTCACTTCTGCAACTGAGGCAGGAATTCGAGTTCGGAGCTCAACGACATTTACAGGCAAAGGTGGTACGAACACTCGATCTTTAACGAATCCCCATAAGAAAAAATCCAGGGGAGTAAGATCCGGGGAACGAGGAGGCCATGCTATCGGCGCCGCTCTACCAATCCACCGACCTGGGAAACGGGTGTTGAGGTACTCGCGCACTTCTCCAAGGTAATGAGGGGGTGCGCCGTCTTGCTGGAAGTGAATGCGTCCTTCTTGGTCATCTTCGTCTGTCTAACTGAATGAGGAACTCTTGGAGCATGTCCAGATATACGATACCGGTAATGGTCGTCTCCATGTAGAAGAAGGGGCCGTATACACTTTCTTTGCTGAGGGCGCAAAACACGTTCACCTTTGGGCTATGATGAACATGTTCCAGGGAGACACGTGGATTTTCGCTGCCCCAGATCCTGCAGTTGTGGGTACTGACCTCACCACTGACATGAAAAGTGCTCTCATCACTGAAAATTACGGAGTCCAGAAACTTCTCATCGTCTTGTATCCGATGAAACATTTGCATACAGAATCCCTTACGAACCACCTTATCTGCATCCGTAAGGTGCTGAACGATGAATAGTTTGTACACTTTTAAGTGTAAACGTTTTCGTAACACTCGGCACACAGTAACATCTGGAATATCAGTTTCCCGGGACGCACGTCGCGTTGACTTTCGTGGACTTCGAACGATGCTCTCCAGAATCTGTTCAACTGTAGCGTCAGAAACGCGTGGCCAACCGGGTGGCTTGGCATGACGCACAGAACATCCGGTCTGAACAAAATTCTTGTGCCAGGAGTAAATTGTAGGCCTACTGGGAGGTTCCTTGCGATACTGAGTGCGAAATTTCCTTTGAACTTGTGTAGCAGACTTCGTTTCTTTGAATCAAAACACACAACGAGCACGCTCTGCACCTGTGAAATTAGCCATCTTGATTTAAACTGCGGGAGCGCTCGCGGTGGCAGTATTGGGTACTACAGTACCACGTGCATGAAACTCGGCATGTTTTGCTACATTATGACAGTTCAAAACGTTGTGTATGTCCTCTGCATAAATTTATATAAGCCTTCAAAGTTATAAAGCTCTTTTTAAAACACCCTGTATGTTAACACTTCATACACTGATTTTTAGTGAAGTGCACAAAAATAAAACATGTTCAGTTAAACACCCGATCCCATTAAAGGCACAACTTATATTCAAATCCGAATTATTGAAGCTGAATGCAAGTAGATCATTTCTATGTAGCTGCATATGAAGGATGTGTGGAGCTGCAAGTATTGTGCTTTAATTCATGATCCCTGCAAACTTTAAATCATGCAGTGATGGATGAAATGTTGCAAGAGGAGGAGGAAATAAAAGTACATCAAGTTTTAACGTTGTAATTTATATAACAGCTATATATAATGCCACAAAATCTGATACATAATCAGTCGTCCATTTGTGTCCCTTTCTTGATTTAAATTAATTTTACAGTACGTCACTTGCACACCTTTCCTTTCATTCATTTATACATAATGACCACACACACACTTCTTGGTAGAGCACAAATATGTTCCAGCCCCTTTTTGGCATTGAAATATTTATTTTAATTTTAAATGTAATAATCTTTATGTTAACTAATACTTATGTACAACCCCTACATTTTCTTGCTGCACTTTCGTGTAAGAAATTCAGTGAACACTGAAACTATATGTATTAAAACATTGTTCTTAAATCTCTGGGCTAAGGATACTGAATTTTAAAATATTAAACCAAACGAATGGTGGCTCATTATCAGTTCTCACTGAAGAATTCTCTGTTCGTAAGCCATAACGTGCTGTTCTCTTGCACCTGACAGAAGTGCAGCATTCTCATGTCCAAACTCACAAAAACACATACAAATAAATATCTGTAGTTCTCACCAATAGATTCAATAGCCAGGTAAGAGCTATATACAGAAAATTCAGCGCACTTGTTTTGATTTGGACTTGCATTTCAAAGACGTTTTTTCTGTTTGTAGAAAGTGAATGAGGGCCATGAAATATTACATTATATAGCTGCATGAATTGTTTTCAAATAAATTACTCAACCGAAATATATGAAAAATATTTTACAACCATAATAAGGTTACAGGTTGTTATTGCACCTCCTTTAATTTTATGTTGGCATTACTTTCCAACAATCATTTAATATTTTCAAGAACCTCTCGGCAATTTTAGATTGGAAAAGAACTATACTGCATATAACCTAAAATCAATCAAAGCAACACATGCTAAAATTGCAAGCCTAGAGTAATATATTACTCAATTCTTTCTGGCTACAACTGGGAAGGATAAGAAGGGTTCTCTTTTTGTGGCCAAATTCTTCTGGAAAACAGCAGCAGGAATGTCATTCTGGCACATGAGAATGAAATAGTTAATCCACAGCAAATTCTTAAGTCTTCTAATAAAATAGGGAAGACTAGGATTATCCTTGATTTGGCCCAATTCATCACCATGCCCTAAGATTTTTGATTGAGTTATGGCGTTACCACCTTACCACCTTTGCTTCCTTAACCTCTTGCCCCTCCTGTGATGACCTATTTGGTGATTTGATTCTGATCTGAGGTCTCAAAGAGAGACAGTCTGGTCTGCTGCCTTGAGAAGATGATCTGAACTCTCGAACACAGCGACGATTCATGGACAGCTGGCTGAATTTAGTTATGACTGGGCATTTTGAAATCACTGTTTGAAGTCATGTGCAACAATGGCCTGCTGCTGGAGGCAAATATTTATTTTTTGTATCATGTTTTAATCAGGCTGACTTTTAATGTTAATGTGTATTGTTCTTATAATTCATTTGCAACATTATTTGTATTTGTATGTAATTTGCATAGTAAAGATGACCTGTAACGATAATAGACGCTGATGCTTGTGTATCAAACAATTCATACTGCATATAGTTACTATGGGCCTTACCGGTAAGTGTTGCAACACCCCTGTGCTAAAGACATATATGAAACGAGAGTGGGTAGTTTTACTCAAGGGTGGAAGTGCTGCCACATTAAATGCATCGGTGGAAACTGCAGAAATTCAGTGTAATGGAAAACCAAGAAGAAATCTTTACTTTTCATCAACTGGTTAAACAGCAGGGAAAAATAAGACCCTATTTTTATCAGTCATCTGTGTAATTCTTGTGCAGTCATTCACTGGAATTGCAGCAAATCAGAAAACGCTGTTCTGGAATTTGACACTTCTGAATAAAGCTATTTTTTTAAAAACCTCATAAAGAAGGACACACGTTAATATGATACAGTAACATCTTCTGACGGTATACCAACTTCATGTACAACAAATTGTTTTGTTACAATTGACTTTGCAGGAAAAACGCACAACTGTGTACAATAAAACCCAGTAAATGAGTTACTAAATGTTAAAATGTCTGTTTCAGTTTGGTTTGCATGTAAAATAAACTTCTGATACAGTGAAGTTGCTTCTGGAATCTTCAATTTCTCCCTCTGCTCTGTGATCTTTTGACCTTAAAGAATGTAACATTCTTTCTGAACACCAGCACACGGAGTGAATCATGTGGAGCACACCTCTTACGTCCAATTAGATGGTATAAAAATAGGAGACACACCAATATACTGTTAGTTCATGCAGCAATTTTTTCTTGTAAAAATATCAATTTCTACTAAACATGAATCTGTTATGTTCCGCAAACCCTCTGCAACACATATTCTAATTAATTACTTCATACTTCTCAGAGATATGTTCTGTAATGAAGCAAATTATGTCTGCAGGAGATATGAACAAGATTCTTCTAAGAAATCAATATGACAGTAACAACATTTAGTTTCACATATGTACACACCAACGTTCTAATGAACCTGCTGTACATTTGTACATTTCTCATATACTTCAGATAGCATAAAACTTGATTCTCTAGTTTTACATAGGAGTTGCTTGGAGTCTTTGGTTTTTCAGTAGCCATATATTAATTAATATATACCATACGAACAGGTATTTATGTATTAAGTCTTTTAGAATTCATTCGACTGTGGACAAATTTGGAAACAATTATGACAACAACATAATATAGGTGGGTACGCCACAGTACAAAACAAAATTTGCTTAAGGTAAATACAAATGAAAGAACTGTCAGCAATAAATCCAAATATTACGTTAATAAAACTATACAGAACTCGCAAGGAAGACATTTGGGAACTTTGGAGCTCAATTTATAATACTCTGTGTTAAAATATAATAAAAATGGTAAAGCTACCCCTGTAAGAGGCCGTGGAGGCCCATAGGATTGTGAGACAGTGAGGCTCCCACATTTTCTAGACAATTGGCTCACAGACAGCGGTGATGTCAGCCTTATGTGCCGGCAGCCCCTGAGCCTCGGGAAGATTCCTGTCACTCATTTCTGTTAGAGGGTGAGTCGACACCAGGGCCATAGAGCGACTGGAAGGTTTAGGTCAATTAAAAAATCCAATGCCCTTAGTGGGAATGGAACCGGAGACCTTCCAATTTATAGCATAGTTCATCAAGCAACCATGCTTCAGTGTGCCCTGACAACATATAATAATCTACCATAAATATCAACAAAGGCCTTCAGAAGAACAAAGATGCCACACTAAATTAAAAACAACTGAATGAATACTGTGCATCTGGTACCAAGAACTGTCATACCAGTAAACCTAACTGTCACCTTAGCCACCCACAGTGTATGCACGAACCATTACGTCTCACTTATGAACACTGCATCAAATTTTATCACAGCACAAAAGTCACATTTAGTGATAGCAGTTCCATTGGACTCATTTCTATGCCATCTAGGCTTTGAAATTTGTGTATCTGATGTAACCCAGTGAGGGAGGTTTGGACAATGGATCCCATATTCAAATCACTGAAAAACGTTCGCTTGTGGAAAGTTGGACTCTTACTTCTGTCTGCATTGTTACCAGTGACCGCTTCAAAAGAGCACTGAGGGATTGTGATACCTGTACCAACATCACAAGCGTAACCTTGCCGCTGCAGCACCATGAGGGCCGACTGTGATGGGAACTGCGTGTAGCTAACATCTGACAAGGTTCTCAGATTCACAAGATGAACATCACAGGGAAAGGGGCGCGAAGTCAACACAACTTTCTTGCTGAGCAGAAAGTCTCTCTGTATTTCATTGTGACGGTTATGGTCCGCAGGCTGATGTCCTGCGGACGGGACTTCTGTCATCCCCTCCACCACAAATAGGTTGGCAGGGTATAGCAGACTGTTTGACAGGTGGTGGGCAAACAGGCTGGGACGAGAAAACGTTTCGGAAGAGGATGCTGAGTCCTGGGACTTCACTTCTTCCAGCAGGAGCCAGAATTTGGTGATCATGCGCTTGTTGTCCACAATGCCCTCACCCATGCCTCGCGAATCATCGTACAGTGTACGGCGGTCAAGCATCACCTCCAGCCAGCCAGGCTGCCATGATGCAGCTCCTTGTGCATGGTTCACCAGCAAAGACAGGCGTCGTGAAGAGTCCTGGATGTAAGCCATCGATGTGATAGGGAAATAGTTCCCTGTAATACCGTGAAAAAAAAAAATTATTACATAATTGTATCCAAGTAACTGTTCTGCATAAAATAATGTGACGCTAGTTATTCAAGTAGATACCTGAAAGGTTTTACTTAACAGAGAGCAGAAACATATGGGAATTTTTTATTTAAAGTGTTCGTTAAAGTTCCCTATAATGCACCACTGCCTTAATCATATGCACTGTTAGCAAATGTTTACATAGTATAAAAATTCTTGCAAGTTGGCAATACCTTTCATTTAAATTATCTACAGAAACAAATGTAAAATTTTTGTAAAATACAGCAAATCTCCAAATTACATGGTTTGAGTTATATGAATTTGTAGAATACACGGATACACAAGTACAGTTTGGGCATTTGGACTTCTATAATCATTAGCACTGGATATACAGGATTTATGTATCACAGTACAGCATAATATCATACGTTATGATACATTTTTATTTTACATATTGTTCTAGCTTCAACTAACCATTTAAGGAATGCATATAGCAACAAAATATTATCCAGTACCCTTCTCTTAAGGTTAAGTCCATATACAGATGAAATTATTGGGGATCATTAGTGTGGGTTTCGATGTAACAGATCAACCACTGATCAAACTTTTACATTTGTCATACAGTGAAGAAAAAATGGGAGTACAACGAGACAGCAGAAGCATTTGATTCAGTTAGGAGGGAAGTATTGTACAGCATTCTCATAGAGTTTGGGGTACCTACTAACTTAGCAACACATGGGCTAAAATGACATGTTATTCTGAGGGCTGTTTCTGATCTATATTAAGTCACCAAACTCTATAAAATTTCTAAACCAAAGTTAAAAAGGAAACTAAGAGAGAGCTATTGAGGGGAGAAAATCAGTGAACTGTTCGAAGAACATCTGAAGAACCAGAGTAAGAGGTGATCAAATATATGATTAAGCCAGAAGAATGTTTTTGTGATTTTCGATTATTGACGTTCCCAGAATGGCACTTCCGATGGCAGCTGTTTCGCAGCTGCCATTACGGAATGTAGCAGTAAGAGGAACCTTCTTCACACAACTGTCCACAGATGTTTCGGTTCCCCCAAAGTTAAAATGGACTCATTCCTTGTCAGGTGTTTCCTATGGTAGAAATACAGTGGAACCTCGCTTAACGAGCACCTCTCATAACGAGCAAAACAAATTGGGGAAAAAAAGAGACTCTCTTAACGAGCGACGTTTCGCATAACGAGTGACGAGAGGGGAAGTCCCGGATTGTGCGCTTGTTACATCAATTGTGTTTAGCACGCGTTCCGCTAGCGTCTTAGTGTCGCTTGTGATCACACATTTTTCCAAACTTGTGTTCAGACATATTATTTGTGATATTTTTTTGTGCAAAGTTTAATAACCCTTGCAAAAATGTCCCCGAAAAAAAGCCGCAAAAAGACAGCCATAAGAGAATAAAAATAACCGTAGAAATGAAACGTAAAATCATTGAAAAGCGAGAACGAGGTGTGAGCGTGGCTGATCTAGCACGCACATACAGTTGGTCTACAGCAACGGTTTGCATGATCTGGAGTTGCACTGTGTTTCACAGCAAGAAGTTGTGGAGGAGAGTTTGTCAGAGGAGGAGGAGGAGGTAACAGCAAAGCAACAATCTTCTGGCGCAATAAGAGAAATGCTGAAAGCATGGGAAACTGTTGCATTGTACATTGAGAAGCATCACCCCCCTAATAAGGCAGTGGCTATGCGCGCTACAAATTTATTTAATGATAATGCTGTGTCGCATTTTCACCAAATTTTGAAGCGTGGGTAAAAACAAATGTCTCTAGACCTTTCTAGTAAAAAAGAATTAAATAAGTATCATAAATAATAAACTAATTATTTCGATTTCTTTTTTGTTTTCTGCAAATCGAATTCGCATTCCAGGTTGGTTCATTCCGCATAGAAGAAAAGATGAAGATGATTCACGCTCCTTAACAATGTACATATAATTTTCTTTGAATAAACGTTATACATAAAACTTTTTGAGTATTTTTTTCGGCATGGAACGCATTAACGTATTTATATGGGAAAAACTGTTTCGCTCAACGAGTGTTTCGCATTACGAGTAAGATTCTGGAACGAATTATGCTCGTTAAGCGAGGTTCCACTTTATTTAGTTAGTTATTGGAGAGGGTGGGTTTCCCCATGCACTTAGGCCCGTATTGGTCCATTGTGCTTCCCTCTATGATATTCTACCAGTCTCTATATCCTACCGATATTGGTGCGTACCATCAGTCCCGACCGAGCCAGCGAGTTCGGCCTCCACTGGCTTGGCGGTATCTATAATGCTTCCCCCATCTATCAGAGGTGTTAGAGACTACTTGTTGGGCGGGAAACGTCCTTAAATTTGGCTCACTGACCTCCTTTGGAGATATGTGGTTCTTTTACGTGACGTAAAGCTACGACACGGGACACACGGCTTAAAGTACCTCCCGGAGGACTTGTTCCCTGAATTTTTCCGCCCTTAAAAATTCGACGACCTCCGCCGGGTTTGAACCCGCGTATCACGAGTCATGAGGTGGGAACGTTACCTCTAGACTACGGAGGCCGCTTACATTCCACTGTATTTGATCTGAATTATAACAAAAACTTACCTTCTATACCAATGCGTTCCACTTTCACTCTCTTCTGCATCTGGAAGCCATTGAGGTCAGAGTAGAACTCCGGAGGATCTCCATTGCTGATATCAGTGACAACTCTCATGAAGAGCTCTGTCTCGCGGTTTTTGGGTGGTGCCTCGAAGTCTATGAGGTTCTCTATGTAGATTCCTTCACTCAGAGGTCCTGCTGCGTGATATATGCGGGCCGAGTGTGCCAGGATCGGACTGTAGATGACTGAAAGCTCTGATGCAATTGGACCAGACGTGATGACAATCTGCAGACCATGACGGTTCGGACCGTCGATGGAACCGAGGATGTCCCTCTCGACCTCTCTGGAGTTCGGGTCTGGCATGAAGAGATATGCACCACTGTGGAACTGTGCCGAAGGATATGCTGCAAACTGGAGACCGCATTGCGTTGTGTGACCTGTTGCTTTGCGAGTGACAGCTTTCAGAAAACCTGATCTGCCATCAAACAAAAGCTTCATCCTATGATTCTCAAGCTGAATATCACCCGTCTGCATCCCCTTTACTTCAAATGGCGGCACATAACTTGCATCATCTACATTTCTGCCACAAGAGGAACAGTATACCACTGATCTTGCCTGCAAGTTCTTCTCTGCCACTCGCTCAACAACGTAAGTAACAAGCGACAATGGCGGGAGATCTGCCACAAACATTACCTCGAATAAGTCCCTTGCCATCTGCAGAACGTTCTCAATTTTATCAACAACACCTTCACCTGACTCTTTGTTTATGTCGCTCGGAACTTTGGCATTATGTGTCAGGTTCCATACTGGGTTCACCTGATAAGGAATGATGTTCCCTTCAGAGTCCATTACCTTCACATGTGGAGTTGTCACCCTGATCTTTACAACATCCTGCCTCTGTTGTGCTAGAGAGTTGAACAGAACTATTCTCCGAGGTTCGTTTCTTGGTACAACCAAAGGAACTTTTTGCGGAAGTTTCTCATATGACTCTCTGTCTATATCAGGTAAAATGAAGTTCATAAATGGCTGTGATGGCTTGTTTGAAAACGCTTTGCTCCCACTAGCTTCTCTTGACAAACCTGACGATGATGCATCTTTCATGAGTAACATTTGAGCACAACGCTGCTGAATGAACACAGTATCCTGGATACCTTCGAACATCTTCAGAGCATAGTCGTGCATTACAAATGATTTTGAAGTTCCAGTTATAGCGTCATGGTGCTGAAACAAAGCCAGTGACTGCCTGGCCTTCGTGATCCTCTCGTAATCTCTCTCCAAAAGCTGAATTGTTTTGTTAAACCCATGTTGTCTTGCTCTGTTTAAAGCAACTGTGTATAGAATCTCTGCTGATCTCAGACTAGCTTCCAATTCTCGGTCCAAAATCTTCCAATATGGTCTTGTAGTAAAGTAACCACTCCAGTAAGCTGGCCGACCTTCAGCAAAGATATCGCTGTATACAAAGAAGTCTCCTTTTAACGTTTGGAAGCTCTGGGTTCGTTCCTTGACAGCAGCAAAGTAATCTGATGGCGTGCCAAATGATACTTCTGCATGATATTTGTCCTTGTTTTGATTTATGTAGTCAAAGAGCATCTTGTAATTGCCATATTGCTGGTTCCACTCAATATCATGGTCAAAGCGGAAGTCATCACCAAGAGGCATCAGGACAACATTGTGTGGGAAGAGGGAGCCTGTTCGACCATATTGTTCTAGCAGTAACTCTGCCTTTTGTTTCACATTGTATTGGTCTATTGGCACAGCACGCAGACTGTACTCTGTGTACTCACCTGCAAGAAAGAGACACCACTGTTAAACCATTCACAGCAGTGGTAGATTATTAATTTGCACTCTCTTATCGAAATGGAGGTTGATAAAAAAGCATCACTTCTCTACAAATACATATTATGTTTGTGGACATTATCCATCGCCCTGTTTTTATTTAAAACACACAATGTTTCAGAGACTAGATTCCGTCTTACTTACTCAGTTGGTCTAGTCGATAGAGCCAGTCTCTATCTCCGGACAACTCTGTCGATTGGCGCCCAGCTGAACAGGATTTACCTTAAGATGTAGACATAATACAGTCTACGAATCGTTGTGTTTTAAATAAAAACAGGACGATGGATAATGTCCACAAACATAATAATTGTATTAATGTAAAATCGTCATAAACCTTTAAATCTTATCATCGCTTCTTTACCGGTGGCCAGAAAAAGGGATGACTTGGGCAGAAATTAATTATTAACTACATTAAGCATTCAATGACTAGTCATGGACTTTTGAAATTTTAAATGCATGTCTTATCTGTGATACTGTTCAAATTATAAAACATTTTATCAAGAAATTCAATAACAGGGAGAAAAAAGCCATCTCAATTGAGGCCATGATCAGTTTGACGCTAAAGCGAACGTGGTCTGCACTACATAAGCAATGGGTTGAAATGTCCACCACACTTTATGGCAGTTTGAAGTCTGAGTTAATAGTTTATAGTTTCAATTTTTCCATCACTGTTTGACAAATGCGCTTCAACTGCAGGTTCTGTAACATCAGCTAAATACATGACAAGCTTCTGTCCCAAGTTACACCTGGCACCTTAGTACATACTGAAACAATTAATAACTGAAATAAAAATACAGAAATTACTGGCCACGTCCCCACAATTCGTGTATAGACTTTATATATTATTTTAAAACATGTTTCGCTTCTCTGTGGCCTTCATCGGGTAAAATATTTACACTGATTTTCTGACATCTTAACCCTCCACTGGCCAATATTTACTTCTGTGGCAGGCCGTACGTGCTATCTCACAATTTTTAATGCTAACTTAGCCGATCACAGGGACCGCGGGGTCTAAGGCACGAATTGTTTTCCCCTGCTCGAACACTGGGATCGTGGGTTCGAATCGCACTCGAGGCATGGATGTCTGTGTGCGTTTATTCTGTTTATATTGTCCTATGTAGGTAGGGGCCTTGCGAAGAGGCTGATCCCCCGTCTAAGGAGTCCTACTCACTGTGTCTATAAGATAAAGAAACTGAAGTGAAACGAAGCGTTTCATGGATGCACTATGCTCCAGAGGGAGGGAACGAACGAACGAATGAATGAATGAATGAATGAATGAATGAATGAATGCTAACTTATTAACTACATGCAAAATATCAGAATTAAAATTAGAATAACAAAATGTTTCTCTGTTGTAGTTTAGTGTTATTTTGTGTCATTGTGTTGTTAATATATACGTAAAATTGATAGATGATACGAGGCGATGGAGCCAATTATAAGTTGTCCACACATAATATGACGCTGAAGTACCAGGTGATTAAATTTTGTATTATAGACCTGCACAAAATTGTTGTTCAATTATTGTACTAAGCGTTATTTTGGTTAATTTTAAGAGCAACTTTAAATCATACACAAATTTTAAGGGTATTTTTACAATTATTAGGCATTAATTTCTGTTTATTTTAAGATGTAATACACTGACTGAACTAACCAATTTCTTCCTATAACAGAGCAGCTTTTTTAACACGATGCACAACATTTCTGTTACAACCAGTGACCCCCAATCACTTTTATGTGAGAATTTCGGGTAATAACGAATCTCTTATCATCACAATATCAAATTACTTAAATGGAAAGCACATTTCTCAGGAACTATTAACTTTAGGCAGACATACTTTTAATGTTTCCATGTCTAAGACTATATACCCGACTTACTGATCTTTTTGTTTTCTTGTGATGCTGCCAGTACTTGTGATTACGCAGCTCATATGCTGGCCCGACTGATGGAAAATAAACAGGGGAGTATGGGAACAGAAGCGAGTTATTTGATTTGCAGGAGCAGTCCTGAAGGCACAACTTGTAGCCATGCTACTGGACTGCCGATGTACTAAGTTGACAGTTTTTATAAACACATTACTTGCACGGCATCTGTCCAACTTGTAAGGTCATCATCACGCTGAGACTTTAACGTAGTTGTTGTGCTGTGTTGCTTCTTCTAGTTCGCTTTTCCAGAACTTGGTTAAAACTAGTTCCAAATTGCTGTTCAACTTCTTCAAACCTATTCTTTCTTCAGTTTTCACTTCGTATTTCCGGTTCTTCTTATTCTTACTCCGTGGTGTCTCTGGGTGTGCGCGAAGGTTTGTTATGGCGTACAGCAGTTGTGGTGGGTTGGCAGTATTTATTTTCTACGGCCTGGTATTGTGTGACATCCGTGGATGGTGGGTGATTAACAAAACGTCGCACATAACCCAAGTAACCGTGGAGTAATGGACACACAAAATGAGTATGTGCGAGGGGAGTCAGGAAACAGGTCACAAATGGATGTAAAACATGTGATTTTCGGAACTGAAAAAAACAATAGTTCTCGATTTACCCTTCACAAACATTAAGAGTTCAAGGAGGTGGTATATATAGTTATCACTGGGCTTTAAAGAGTTAACTAAGTAACTAGGCAGCCGACCAAAGGGTTTTCCTTAACGAAATGAAGCTTCATCAGCTAATGACGAAACTCCTCGTCTGATAAAACCAGAAGGTTCATTGTTGTGATCACAAGAGCCCATATTCGAACCGTATGCTTTATCAGTCCTGATTTCTGTAACGCAATTCTCTCACTCGCCGCCAACTAACAAAGCAACCCTCGTAAGTCTATTGGACAGGGCCCAGTCAATAGTAACCCAGCTCACTGAGAGTACGTATTTCTTATTTTAACGGGTTGTTGACGTTGATGCCTGTTTTCATCGGGTTCACTGTCTAGCAGTGCCCATTCGCGTACAGATGGCCGAAAGGCAAGGAAAGGAGACACGTGAATGTAATGGTTACCGGTAGCCTTCATCCCTGCAGTTAACCACAGGCTGGCGGCTTGAATCACAGTGATGTCCCCCGTTAAAAAGAGGTTATGCGCCGTGAAGAAAAAAGGAAGGGAAGAAAGTTATTGGGTTGAGTAGTACCTGCAAACACGTGACAGACACACAGTCATGTCTTAAACCAAGTATAAATTTAATTTAAAGAAGTGTCAGACTTTAAGTGGTTCAAACGCTTGGTAGACTGCTCAATAAAAAGAGAAATTAAATACTGTGCTAAAAATATGGATAAAACGGGCTGTACATGGGGAAATGATGTTGTGGCCTGCAGACCCGTTGCTAGGCAAAGACCGCGAAATAAATAGTTGTACAACAGCTGCTGCTAACCGCAACAGAGACGGACACAAAGATAAAAGAACTGTTGGAAGCGGTGTTATCTGTGCGGTCCGTATCAAGGCTATATAACGAGGAGCAGCTGCTATTACAAGAAAGTCTTGAGAAGGCAGTTAGAAGAATAGGAGATTGGTGTGAGATTGTCGCCATTCTGCAAGGACGTGAGCCCGGGAACGTCCACGGGCGAAGAGGCAGCAGACTGACAAGACAGTGCGTGCTGTAGTGAACTGTCCCCTGTCCAAGGGACAGGGGATTAGCCCTCGCAAGGCTGCTACCTATAAAGGACAGCACAAACACAGTGTCACGTGATGGACTAATTATAGAGACGGGTTTTGGATTGACAAACGGATTTACTGGACTCTCTGATACAGCGAGTGACTACATTTTATAGTTCACTATTACATACACGCACGCACACACACTAGTATCCACAATCAGATCTTCACTAGCCGTCGCTCGATAGCGGCTTCCAACGGCGGAAGTTCCCTATTCTCTGAGAAGTGGAGATATAACTACAGTCAAACGTCAGCAGTAGGTGAAGGGGGGTGATCAGTCTGACCCTCTCACCACTTTGTCCCATGTAAAAAGCCCATGGACCCCATGGGATATGAGGGTGGGTGGGCCCACGGCCAATCTGACCTCTGTGGAGAAAAGGAAATCCTTGTCCCCGTTTGGGATCTCGGTAGCTGTAACCCACTCGCTATACTGAGTTGCCCTGCTCCTGTCTCTGAGAGATCGACCTAGTTAGCCAGAGAACTCACAAAGTGACGGATTATTTCTAAGCGCGTAAGTCAAAATAGAAGATACCTGCGTCAATGCGAAGTGTCTGTATTGTCAACTGAGCGGTCAATTCGGGGTCATTTGCTCCAATAAAATAAAAAAAAAAAACTATATATACAGCAACAAATTGTAACATTTTGACAGGATATAAATATAAATTTGAACAATTTCGGCCTTAAAGATAATAATTGTCCCTTTATTATAGAACAATTTCATCACGATACAAAATAAGAAAATCAGGAAATATACACAGAACAATCAACAACAACAGTACGCAAGCGATCTTCCACAACATGAAAGCACACAACACAACAGAAGTAATGTTGCTCATAGCTCGGGTTACAGTAGTACACGTTAACTGATTTTCATATGAAACAAACACTAACAATGAATCTAAGAAGACATCATCACCCTCCACTATAACAGCATCACGGATACTCACATTGTACCGACGCGACACAAACACTACTTTAAATAATTTTGACCCTATGGGTTAGTTAGTTAGTTATTTAGTTAGTTATTTGAGAGGGTGGGTTTCTCCATGCACTTAGACCTGTATTGGTCCATTGTGCTTCCTTCTATGATTTCTACCAGTCTCTATATCCTACCGGCACTGGTGCTTACCATCAGTCCCGCCCAGCCAGCGAGACCGGCTCTACTAGCTGAGAGGTATCTATAATGCTTCCCCCATCTACCAGAGGTATTAGAGACTGCTGTTGGGCGGGAAACGTCCGTAATTTGGCTCAGTGACCTCCTTTGGAGATAT